TTTCAGATAATTTATTGGAGAAATTATACTGCAGAAACATGGCCTTGGAGACTTACCAATGATATTAACTGTAAACATACAGCTACCTGTCCTACCAGCAGCATCAGTAGCACCACAAGTGACATCATTTGAACCAAGAACAAATAAGGAACCAGAAAATGGAGTACAAGTAGCTGACAGATCAGCATCAACATTGTCAGTGACTGTTGGGTCATTCCAGGTCACTGTAACTTGGCTTGAGGATGTACTCATGGAAATATCATCAGGGCATGTTACATTGGGACTCTCAAAATCTAGAACATGAAAAAACAAACAAGATCATACAAAAAAAAAAATAAAAATTTATGTTAATGCTTCTTTTTATACATTAAAATATGTAATAATAATAATCAATGTTTAAAACCCTTTAAATCACTATTTAATTGAACTGAATTGAATTAAATTGAATTTTTAATTTACATTAATATTTATTTATTAGTAATAACTACAGCAGCATGAATAGATTAAATATAATGAATTATATTGATATGGTATGAACAATAGGCCTACTATTAAAATTTAAAAATCCCATAATGTGAAGGGTTAAAATTTCGAGGTTACTGTAGTTTATACGAATAACCACACTGAGTCGGCCTAAGATATAAATATACAAGACGGGTACACACTGCGTCTGACGGTTGTCGGCAAACACAATTCCACAGAGAAAAAAACAGAATGAAATGTGCGCAAAGTTTTTAATGACGATCTACTTAGACTGCCATAAACTATCAGCAGATGTATGAAGCACTCACAGAGAGTGGACATGGATTCACCTGCCAACAGCCATACAACTTGTATGGCGCAGCGTGTGCCAAGCTTAATGATCAAGACAAAAAAGACAACAATAGTGTCCTTTTTAACATTTCAAATAGTGTCCCCATTGCCCTAATGGGGTGGGGATGGGGGATTTGGCCATAGTGTTAAAAGATATACTTCATTTCACAAAAAATTGTCTTTTGAATAGGTGTTTCTACTGAATCTAAATATTACAAATGGTTGCATAAATGAGCAAAACCTACCATGGACAATAACAGTAATTGTGCAGGAACCAACATTGCCATTACTGTCAGTTGCGGTACACATAACAGTATTGGTACCAACAGGAAATGATGAACCAGAAGGTGGAGTACAAGTAGCTAACAAGCCCATGTCAATATCATCAGTTACTGTTGGCTGACTCCAAGTTGCAGTTCCTGTTGATTGGCCTGGAGATGTAGGTACATTAACACTACCACTAATCCAGGTCACAACTGGGTCTTCAGGTACAGGTACTGTTAGTGAAAAAAAAAGCATTTATAGTATAGAGATAAACAGACATTTTGGAATCACTACCATATTGTTGTTATTATACTCACAGTTTAGCATTATATGGCATCTAGGAAATATACAGTATGGTTAAAAAAATAATAGTGACCATCTTGAGACAAAAGGAATGAAAATGTGTCTCAATTCATCCCTAATTTAATATTTACTTTTGGTACAAACTTTAGAAAATGGTGGAAACCATTTTTATCATAGAAACAATCCTAGCCTAGTTGATAACAGTTGACATACAAAAATAAACTGAAATTTAAATTAAAACAAATGCAATTTACTTTTAAAGTAACCTGTAGCTTTGGACAAAATACTGTCTAATAGGAATTTGATCAGGTTTATACATTTTCAGTAACCTGGCGATAACAAACTTTCAACATTTTTAGTCATTAAGGCAAGAATTTTTTATTCCTTGTTTTGCGTCCTTATTTTTTCAAAGATCATCGGAGGAGGGTGGAATAAAAATAAAAATGAAATTTTGTTTTCTTATTTAGCAAATGGTTTTTCCAAAAACATCCAGACGGAGGAGAAACTAAAAATGAAGAAATATACATATCTAATCAACAGTACACACTGCGTCTGACGGTTGTCGGTAAACACGATTCCACAGAGAACAAAACAGAATGAAATGTGCACAAAGTTTTTAATGATGATCTACTCAGACTGCCACCAACTATCAGCAGACAGCGTCCTGTATGAAGCACTCAAAGAAAGTGGACATAGATTCACCTGCCAAGCCATACAACAATTGTATGGCACAGCGTGTGCCCAGCTTAATGAACAAGACAAAATAGACAACAATAGTGTCCCTTTTTACTCCAGGGTTGAAAATATGATTATTTAATAATTTCAAAAAGTGTCCCCATTACCTTAATGGGGTGGGGAGGGGGAATATATTTCATTTTTCATTTCACAAAAAAGTGTCATCCGAATAGGGGTTCTACTGTATCTAAACACTACAAAAATGGTTTAATGAGCAAAACTTAACACGGACAATACAATAATTGTGCAGGAACCAACATTGCCATCACTGTCAGTTGAGGTACACATAACAGTATTGGAACCAACAGGAAATGATGAACCAGAAGGTGGAGTACAAGTAGCTGTCAAGCCCATGTCAATATCATCAGTTACTACTGGCTCACTCCAAGTTACAGTTCCTGCTGATTAACCTGGAGATGTCGGTACATTAAAACCACCAATACAAGTCAAAATTGGTTTTTCAGGTTCAAGCACTGTCAGTGAAAAAAAGCATTTACATTTATAGCATAAGAGATAAAAATAGATTTTAGAATCACTACCATATAGTTATTATACACGCAGTTTAGCAGTATAATGGAATCTAGGAAAAATACACTATGCTATTAAAAGAAATAATAGTGACCATCCTGAGGCAAAAAGTATGAAAATGTGTCTCAATTGGTACAAAATTTAGCCAAAGTCGGATCCAATTTCTTATAGAAACAATCCTATACCAGTTGATAAAAATTGACATACAAAAATACACTGAAATCTAAATGTTAAAATTATAAATTACATTTACTCTTAAAGCAAAATGTAGGTTTGGGCAAAATACTGCCTAATAAGAATTTGATCAGGTTTATGCATTTTTCGGTAAGCCCCGCTGTAATGTGTCATTATCATTATTGGGTCGACCACAAGCTGCAGTATATATCTATGTCATCAGGTCATCCATGTGACACTGGGATTCACAATGTGACCAATCCAAAGTGTAAGTTGACTGAATAAGTTCAGGGGAGCTGGATGGAACACCACTCAATGTTAATACAGTAGTAAGTTCCAATATTCAGTTTATTCATTATCAAATATTTTCTGGATGAATAGTAACATTCACCAATAGAGGGCAGTAAACAAAGACACCTGCTGTGAGTCTATTTTCAACAACACTATATTCTAGAAATACACAAAACATAAAGAGAAAATATTAAAAACATGGACGGACACTCTGAGTTATTTATGGTAATATAAATGAAAAAAATATTAAGAGACATTAGATATTGATTATAAATATAATTGTCCATTAAAAAATCCTATAAAACCTAGTCTAGAACAAAATAAATAAATAAAAAGAAAATGTCCCTTAAAAAATCCTCTAGTCTAGAGCAAACATGGAGATCTTACATCTGATGTAAGCAAAATTTACAATAATACAAAATTTTTCAAATCATTAATAACCAATAGACAAAACAATATAATTTACCTTCAACATTGACAACAAACATGCAACTGCCTTCATTATTAGCAGTATCAGTAGCAGTACATCTAACATCATTGGAGCCAACATTAAATGAGGAACCAGAAGGTGGAATACAAGTAGCTGACAGACCAGTATTAACATTGTCGGTGACTGCTAGGTCATCCCAGATCACTGTAGCTTGACTTAAAGCTGCAGCATTTACTGTAATGTCATAAGGGCAGGTCACACTTGGAGGTTCAAAATCTAGTAAAACAGTTATTAAAAGGTGATTACTAGAATTCAAATAGTAATTGAAATTGTTTGCACTAATTTAGTTTCAGAATATTTTTTTGTAATTGGCAGATTATAGTTGAGTTCTCTTATTTATCCACAAGGTTAGATTAGATAGTGAAGATTATATTTTTTACATTTTTTTTACTTTTTATTTTTTTATAAATATAATAACAATAATATTAATTGTAAATAGATCGTGATGTGATATTTGTATTACTGTAACTCGGATATTTTTCTATCTTAATAGAGCATGTAGGTTTATTTCAACTTTCTGCTGTTATTTGTCTGTAAAAAGTCTTTAAAAGTGTCTCACCGCAAGGAATATTTTGTAGACTAGAAATTTGTACAACTACAGTAGTTGCAAAACATTCATAAAAAATTTGATATAAAAATATGAAGTTTAATACCTCTTATTTGTTTTTAATATTTTTTTTCACCTATATTCTGGTTCTCTACAAAGGTATACAGTAAGTCACCATCAGATGATCATCTGGTGATGACCATTTAAAATTAAGAATTTAAATATTGATACTCTCAGCACGATGGCATGTGTTTCTTTATTTAGAGTTTGTATTATGCTCTCATATCTGAAAGTAATCAGTGGATCTTTTGGTTTTTGGAAAATAGTCAACAGAAAAAGCAGTTGTTGCCTAAATAAATTCTTGAAAACATTTTATTAAAAGATTTTCAAACATAAAGTAAAATCATACACACTCTGTAATGACCTTCTTTTTGGGTGGGTCTTGTGACGTTGAAACTTGAATTTCTAGAAATTAATGTGCCAAACCTATTGTACCTTAATTTATACCATTTTGCATGCCAACATACACTAAGGGATTTGTTTGGTTTTTTTGCTCACTTGCTGTTTCATGTAATTAGAAAGGTTTTCTTGTCAAAAGAAAGTAAAAATTAGGTAATGTAGTGCATGGTAGTGGGCAATAATAAAGTAAAGACAGGTAATAACATGAGAAGAAAAGAAAAATTATGTTGAAGGTAAAACGAAAACATCATGATTGTTTTTACAATGAGCCAACAAAAAGTATGTGACATCATTTTGGCATTAAGCTGCAATAACTAGATCATCAATGATAGATAATAATCAGATATAAAAAGTAATAAGCTACTAACTAAACACTAAATTTCTGGGTATTGCGTTTGTATAGCATGTAGCGCTGCGAAGGGGAAAAAACCATGTAAGTGTCTGGGACGCTAGAGTGAAAATATTAGGATTAAAAATTTTTTTACATATTTTGGAAGAATAATAATAAAAATTTAACAAAAAAAGCATTTGAATATCTAAAATCCCATTGCTTTTTGGCTTCACTTCCCAAACCAACACTTATATCCTGCTACTCAACCCCACTAGTAATATATATCCTTCACTGTCAAGACCAATATAGTAAAATATACATTAACACTCTGACCGCCAGCAGTTTGAAAAAATAGTATCAGCCACCGCCAGACATTTTAGCAAATTTTAACACTTTTCCGAAGCTAGTTGAGAGTGTGTATATGATCAGATTGGCATGTAGTGAACACTACAAAAACTACAAACATGTTAGCTTTACAATGGTACCACACATTTTATTCTAATCACAATCGGTGACCCGTAACAGTAAAATTAAAATGACTTACTTTTGGAGATTTATGCAATTTTGCACAACGAAGCTGAGATAATAGCGATTTTGTGAAAGTAAATCAATACCGCACAACGCTAATGTAAACAAACAAATAGCGAACTACTTACGGTCCAGACTGAATATAGTGTTCAAATTGTCACTACATGTTGGTAATTACCCCATCTATCGAATTCCGTACAAAAACCTGAAACACAGAGATCTCAGTGTTTGGCGGTCGAGCGTTGCGTTAGCAAACACAGAGATCTCGATGTTTGGCGGCCAGAGTATTAATAACAATATATTACCGGTTTTTACTGTTTTTGTGTTAAAATTAGAAAACTAAATATGTAAAAAGGCCACACCTTGTGAGGGAAACTCACCCACTTACACCTCATTCAACCCCAGCAGGCTTCACACAGGCCCTAGACCCCTGGACTTTACTGTACAATAACTGCCAATTACAGTATGTTACAGGTCTCAGAGTGAAAATGTATTTTTGAAATGAAAAAATATCCTAGTGTCACAGAATCAAGGAAAGAATGCATCTTAACCGCCAAGCTAGTGACTGTACATGACCACCAATTAGGAACATGGGCCATAGCAGACCTGAGTGTGAATATGAATGCATGTTTAAAAAATTGTTAAATAGAAAATTAGATTAAATAATCTTAATTCCTTTTCTTTCTTTCAAAACGACCAATCATAGTATATAGCAATAGGACATTTCTTTATTTCAATATTTCAAAGTATTAATCAATAATTATTAATTATTTAAAAATTGGTACTGGCACTAGTATGTGCATTTATGATGCACCTTTTACTTGCGGTTGTAAAGATTGCTAACATTTACCTTTGATGGTTACAGTGAAGGTGCAGGAACCAGTATTGCTACCGCTGTCAGTTGCAGTACACATAACAATAGTGTCACCAACAGGAAATAATGAGCCAGAAGATGAAGTACAAGTAGCTGACAAGCCAGTGTCAATATCATCAGTTACTGTTGGTGGATTCCAAATACCAGTTCCTGTTGATTGGCCTGGCGATGTACCTGTATTAAAACTACTTGGACAGGTCACAACTGGTGGTTCATCAGGTACTGTTACAGAGAAAACAGGAGATACAGAATCATGTAGACTTTCAAACAGCATTTAAAAATTTATTCTAAAAATAAATCACCATGATTCTTCAGGTGAAGGTAATCTATTATAAGTCAGTGGTGATGTCATCACTTTTATTTGCACTGAATTTTCCTATTCCCAACTGATCACTATTGATATATAGTGCCTTTGCGTCTGTGTGAAAAAAAGCTCAAAGCTGAGGTGATTTTATTACAGTACATTGCAATGGAATATTTTCATTGCTAGGCCAAGCTATGAACGCACACTCTACGGCACTGGTTAACATGAATGAAGCATAATATGGGATAATAACATAACAACTGAAAAAAATACTGAAATTATCATAGTAATGTTAACAATATATTTTAATCTATTATAAAACAAATGTCTACTAGAAGGTTAGGCCTACCTATAAATAACCCCAAACTAGAAATTGCAAATTGCAAGTGAAGTGCTGCGAAGTACAACTGCATATAGATGTTCTTCGAACAAAATTATTTATGCGAGTCAAGTGAAAATAATGAATAATAATAATATAACAAATAATATGAGACACGACCCATTGTCTATATTAGAACACTTCTCATTGGGTAACAAAGTCGTAATTTTTCATTTTTGTCAAAAAGTGTCTATAGTGGTGAATTATGGTTTAGGTTTTTTTTAATAAAGTTTCAAAAATGTCTATGTGTATGTGTATGTGAAAAATGTAGTTGATTACCAAAGGTTACAATTTTTATTTTGAAGACTGCATGGTCTAGGAAGTGTACATTTATTTATGGGGCAAGTTTCCAAGGGCGGGTTTTCTAGGGGCGAGTTGACTGCCAAAGAGTGTTGCCAAAGTGCGAGCCAGCGTGTTATTTGATCACAAGTGCGAGACATCACAAGTGTGATCCGGCGAGCCATGACGTCACGACAATAGATACGAGGCGTTAACGAGTTAACTCGTTAATGCCTCGTATCTATTGTCGTGACGTCATGTGCGACGTATCGGCTGAGATTTGTGGAGTACAATTCAAAAACAACTATAGGTCTAATAATGAATTATTGTGATGTTAAATAGACAATGTTAGCTATTAAGGAGCAACGTTGTTTTTCATTGGGACGTTCGTCCCTTCAAGGCTAGGCCTATACCATCCTAGCTAGTCTAGGCCTAGGCTAGCGCGACATGCGGACGTTGGTACGTGTTGGTTAGTCTACAAACGTCGCCTAAAGTAGTTGATTTTACCCGGCAGAACGAAAGAAGGAAACTCCGCTTTTCAGTCGTCTTAGGCCCTTATTTTTTGACAAACAATGACCTTTCAGAGGTCAAATTGCTGTCAAGAATATAAATTGGCTGCTTCGCAGCAATAAACTTCAATAACCACAATCAATAAACTACTGGGAAAAAAAACTAAAATAATTCATAATAATGTTCACAAAATATTTTTAATATATTAAACAAATGTCTACCAGGAGGTTAGGCCTACCTAATAACCCCTAATAAACTTCAATAACCAATTTATACATTTTCTTCATATCGCGAGGGGCTGTGAGAAAGAGTGTCAGTGCACGTACTATTAAGAAATCATTCTAATACGCGCAGCTAATGCACATGCACAGTGATCACTGACCAAGTTCAACTTTGATGGATTTATGATATAGGGCCATAACAACTGCTCAAAAACCAGCAGATTGATTATAAAAGGCCACAGAAAATGCAATGGACATAACAACTGACTTACACTGATGTCATGCTGCTAAAGAGGTAATATCGTTGGTCTAACTTCATAAAAAATTGCCAAAAAAAAAAGATTTTAAAGTTGATTCTATTAATAACATACAGTATTTAAAATCCCCTCTAGAAAAAAAATTATCCTTCTAGTTCCCTTGCCATCAAAGCACAAAATTGATAGAAAGCTTTCTTAAACATTCTAGTAGTAGTTATATTCTCAAAAGTGAACATTTTGAGAATACAGGCCTCTGTCTGATTGATTTGTTAAATACGGTAGGTAAAATATTGTCATAATGCTCATTAATAGTATAATTATATGACTAAATTTAAGAATGAAACAGAAACAGGCAAGTGATTCCACAAAAAACCAGAGCCTTGCATGCGTCAACATTCCTATGCATCTGTCTCTTATACACATCTAGATGTGTATAAGAGACAGATGTGTATGTGTATGTGTATGTGTATGTGTATATATATATATATATATATATATATACACATATATACACACACACACA